CGCTAGTTTATCATCATTTATAATTAGAAGTTTAATATAATTATGGTAAAAAACTATGAATTTCTAATTACACTGCAATTGCATTAAATTGATGACATAGTATTGAATTCAGATCATTGAGATAAACAGCAATTAGTTTTTGTTTTGTTTTTTGTCCGAAATTTAAGATTGAATTTATGTATTGAATAATAATACGATCAGTGATGCGATTATTGATATCGCCTGACATATTAGTTTAATACCCTCTTTGAAGACATACATAAAAAGCAATTACTGTTTAGTTTACGGATTAATTCAGTAATAAATAAATAGACGACTCAAACACTTGATTTAGTTTTGCAAAAATATAAACATTTGTGTTATGAAAATAAAATTAATATAATTAAAACACTGAAACATTATTTAATGAAATTAATTGACTGTATATTTAAATGAATGTTTAGATGGGAATAATGAGCGAACAAATTGAATCACAAGCCGACAAAATCGGACAAATGGAGGAACTCTTAGACAATACAAAGTCTCAACTGATGGCCACCGAAGATATGTTTCAGCAGTCGTTGTTCAACAAGTCTTCGCTAGAAAGCGCCAAATTAGACCTCCTGTCGGATGTGTCGAAACTGCGGATCGAATTGAGTGATTGTCAACACTCGAGGATTACCGCCGAAGACAGGGCTCGAAAACTGGACAATGAATTGTCTGTTATTACGAGCACTTTATTGGAAAGAGAGACCGAAATATCAGCCCTTCGACTCACATTAGCCAAAATGGCCAGAACTACAGGATATTTACTTACAGACAACGAACTGTCACTTCTTCGGGGAAAGTCTTTCGCCGCTGAATACACGCGAAATGTAAATCACTTTTGCATTGTGTTTACAAACATTTGTTATATTAATGACATTATCTTTTAAACAGCGCATCCCATCGTCGGGTGAGTCCCGAGTGATAGACAAACCTCCGCTTCCGATCAGTCAACGGCTGTTATCATCGAGTAATCCCTCGCATTCGGAGCCCACCTCTCGTCGCGAGAGTACAGTCAGCGGACGACAAT